CAGAAGACATTTTACATTTTCCTAACATTTGTAGGTTTTTAGATTATTTACAAAAGGTCTCTGTATCATTATTTGTCTGTATCTATACGTTCACCTCTATCTAAGATGATGACTGAGTAATGTATTATCTAGGGCAGGTAAGCATAACTTGGAGTCAGTCCCAGAGGTGAAGTTTCCTATAATACCAAGTTGGAGACACTGCATATCAAAGGAAGTGGGCCTAAAATTCAAATACTAAAGAGATGGGGGGGGGTCCTAGTAATGTATGAGAAGATAAAACAAAACAAAACCTCTTGGGTGAGGGTAGAACTATAGCTAGCATTGACAGTGTAGCTAGCTAACATTTGTTTTCTTATCTCAAAGGATATTTTCTTTTCTTTTGCACATATCTGTAAACATTTTAAATGATTGACACACAGAAGCGAGGGTAAGAAATGAAAAGAATGACAAGACGCAACAAGTTCCATGAACCTCTGCCATCTAAAATCTCTTTAAGGAGCAACCCTGCATGTCCTCCTGGCCCAGGAAAGCCAGGCTGCAGGCATCATCGCCAAAGTGTCTGCCTTCCAGCCATGAACCAGCAACCAGAAACAAATTCACGCACTGCCTCCTGCCCTTCTCGATGGCTTCCTGTGTTGTTTTGTTGTTGTTTTCTTTTCTTTGAGACAGGATCTCACAATGTAGTTGAGACTGACCTGGAACTCACTATGTAGCCCAGGCTGGTCTTGAACTCACAGAGATCCTCCTGCCTCAGCCTCCCAAGTGCTGGGATTACAGGCATGCGCCACCACACCCAGCTTATTTTTCTTGTTAAATAAAGATGGTGTGGTAAATAAGTCACATGTGTAAATACCAAATAGTTTCCCTGGTGTGAATAATCTGGAATAATACATAAGATCCTAATAAGATTACTGACATTTAGAAATGGGAAGAAAGGAGCTAAAGGTGTAGGGAAGGTGGGATGGGTAGGGGAAGGGTAATAAGGGAAAAGAAAAAAATGTGAGATAATGAAAAGATGGAAATAAAGTGTTTGTAGATGTGGAGGGGAGGAGGGGGTGAAGGGAGGGCAGGGACAAGGGGAAAAAATGAGAACCAAGACTTGTCATGTAGAGGTACAAGATCCCAATGATAAATGTAACTGTACTGTACCCCTAAAATATACCAATAAACTCAATTCAAGCTGAAAAAAAATAGATGGTGTGAAGATAGATAATTTTCTACAGAACCCTGGTCTTTACCTTTTGCTTGCTGACTCCTAAGAAATGTTGTGGTAAAACTTCTTAGTATCCAAAAGCATTTTAAAGAATTTCTCAGGTTTTTGAAGCTCAGTCTCAACATGGGGTGAGTTTCAAGAGGGTGAATGCAAAATCTCTCCTTCCTAGAACTATAGGAAGTGATCATTTTTCTCTCTTACCCCCAGAATATTTTCTCTGCAACTTTCCAGCTAGAACAGGCTCTTTCTCTTTTTTTTTCCTTTTGTCAATTGCAGGTTCTAAATTTAAGACTCAACTTGAATTTCCTTTTTTTCTTTACTTTGCCTTTATTTTAGCTTTGAAAGCATATAATATATATATATTTAGCCATTGCTAGTTCATGCCCTAGTAGAACTGGTATCTTAGTCAATTTTTTCTACAAAAATTCTATGTGTTTTCTATTCCCAGAACATACGCTTTTCTATACCAGAATTTGACATTTTTCCATCACTTAAATGCAGGGAAAACCTCACACACTTGAAAGTTCTTTTGAAAGAAAGAAAAACAGAAGAACAACACATTTTAGAAAAGTCTGAAGCTATAATATCAAAGCAGTGAAAAAGCCAACCTTTTCTGAGGATCTACCATACATGAGGCAGGTGCCTATGCTTTTATTGGATAACTTAAAATGTAAAGTTAATGTTAGGAAGAGTGTAGGAGCTCAGAACATCACATGGTTTGTTAAGTGTTACAGAAATTGCTGAATTGTTTACTGGTCTACTAGAATTTCTAAAATATAAAAAGAACTTTTTTGTGGTTTTCACTTGTCTATGACTTATACAGCTTTATATTTGAGTTCAGTCTCATAGTTGACGAACACTCTTGTTGGTTACCTTTCTTTTCCTGACTTCCATTTCCTTCTGTTCCTCTTCTCTATCTCGCACATTGTCAGCAGTTTGCTGAAACTCTAGGCAGGAATATTTATGATGTCTAAAGAAGTAGGCTGCTGTGTCCTCTTCAGCTCCCATTCTCTTATTGCAATGCCTCATTATTTTTGCCCTCGTACTACGGAAATCATAGAGAAAAAGAGCAAATCCACAGAAGACAGGAAGGAGATCCAGGTGGTACCTCTTCCCTTGAGGGTCAGATTGCCACTAATGAAGGGAAGAGTGGGTGGGACGGGCTGCCCCTTACTGTTTGATTGTGAAGTTAAGAACCAGACTAAGAACTTTGTATAATTTAAGTTAATGCGCATGTTGACCTTATGAGACAACATCATGCAGTGGTTTTTAAACTTCCTTTGCAGTCAAACTACCTACTGGCAATTGCTACTTGCTAAGTATCTGACCTTTACAAAGTCCCTTTGTGTCTCACTGCTAAAATCCAGGAGATAAGAAAAGAACATCACAGCATACATCACAGTATTTACAGGGATGGAATAAATTAATATAACAGAACAATTCTTGGACCATAGTAATCACTCCTTGAAAGTTTAGCTTATTACTACTGTGCTCTTGTTTTCAGAAAATGAGAAACAGAAAGGTTCAATTTAGTTGCTTAGGCAATGTACCTCAGTAAATGTGGGACAGTCAGGATTTGAACTCAGTTCTGTTTGACTACAAAGCTAATAGTCTCCATTGTAAACGATAATGTTCAAATATTCTAAAATGCTTGGTTGGATGGCTCTGAATCAGCAATGACCCTAGCCCAAGAGCTCAAATTCTAGCCTGGCAAGTAATAAAAACCAGGTGAGGACTTTCAGAGGCGAGCTGTGAATACGGATAAGGCAAAAAGATTAGGCCTAAACTCGAAAAGATGTCCTTCTCTTAGCCCAAACTGCTCGAGGGCTATGTTGCTTGTTTGTTTGTTTTTTGGTTGACTTTGGGAGTTTGGAGAAATTGTGATTTATATTTAAATTTGATTACATATTGTGTATAGTATGTGAAAATTGTGTTTAAGTGTAGACATTCTTATCACAGAACATAAAATGCTCTTACATAACCTTTTATTGGTGTTTTTGCTCATAAATCCAATGTAAATAATCCCACTAGCTGCTATAATTAGGTTTAGTTTGAAAGGAACCTTTCTATTACAATCTTGAATTTGGCAGCCAATTTGGATAGAACAGACGAATAGGCAATTGTCCTAGAAAAGCTGACTCTTGATGGATGTGCTACTTATTTCATTAAGTAAGTGCCCTAACTTGACCATTTTTATAAAATTCATGTCCAATTCCAAACCCACAATATCTCCTTCAAAACTGTTTTCTTCTGCATATATCAATAAAAAGCAACTTCCTTCTTTAGTTGCAGGACAAAAGCCATCCCAAGTCTTGATTTTCTCTCGCAGACCACTACTCCAGCAGTCCGACTGACTTTCATTCCAAAATATATCAGGCTACGGCCACTTCTTGTCATCCCTTCTAACTGCTCAGAACCTTGGAGCCAATCTGCCTGATCTTTTCCTGCTTTCAACACACGTTCAGCCTCTCCTATGGTGAGACCTCCAGAGGCTCTCCTCGCTCAGGGTTAAGGCAGAGTCCTCATGGTGACCTCGAGGTCCCCTGTCATCTGCTACCTAATACCCTGCTGACCTCATTTGCTGCTATTGTCCTGCGCAGTCCTGCCATCCAGTGACCTCTCTCTCTTTCTGGAACAAGCCAGCAGGCTCTTATTTCTGGGGGTCTGTTCCTCCTATTCCTTCTGTCTTGAACACCCTTGCAGTCTACAAGTCTGCATAGTCTGTGGATGATGCTATAACAGAATACCACAGAGCAGGTAACTCGTAAAGAGCAAAATTTTATTTTTGACTGCTCTGGAGGTTGGAAGTCCAACATCAAAGTGCCGACAGGTTCATTATCTGGTAGGGATTGGTTAGCTCTGCTTGCAAGATAGTACCATATTCATTCATTCTCCAGAGATGCTGTATCCTCCCAAGGCAGGTCATGTCAAGGTACAAGATCCCAGTGATGAATGTAACTATACTGTATACCTAAAAAGTACCAAAAACCTCAATGAGGAAGAATAAATAAATAAAAAGCTCTTGAAAGTCCCTCCAGCCCTTTCATAAGGTTGCTAATCCTTCAGAGTTTTACCTTTACAATTTAGCCACTTCCTAAACAGCCTACTCATCATATGATCAAATTGGGTTTCACTTCTAGCACGCAGATGTTGGAGGGTCACGTACGGGCATTCCAACCATGGGAATGTTCACTCAGAAGTCCCCTTCTCAGTGAAATCTTCCAGGGACTCCTTACCTAGAATTTCAACCCAGTGTCCTCGTTCCCACTGTTTGTCATCTCCCCGTATCTTTTTCTTAGACTTCATCTGTTACTAGCTAATATAACGTGCCTTACTTATTCATCCGTCTATTGTCTGTGTCCACCCCTGCACTGGAAGCCCCTAGAAGGACAGGGATTTTCTGTTTGTTCACAGCTGTTTTCCCAGTGCTTCCCCCGTAGTAGGTACTCACAGAAATTTTTCTAAATGTTTCTGAATTTTATGCAGACAGAAATTGAGATTGTAGGTTTTTCCACGCAAAATAAGAAAAAAGTTATTTTCTATTTATAGATGTATTTGGTTATAAATATTTTCCACTTCTAAACATGTTAGGTCTCCAGTCACTCCTAATTAATAGTTCTGAAATCAATTCTACTTATCTGACAACATGATGTCCAAACTGAGGTATTTATATTTTCTGTTTACCCCACTTTCTGGAACATTTGATAGCACCTTTCCACCACAAAAACATTTTTAGATGTTTTTGTAAAATGTAAAATTACTTTGCCCCCTGCGGTCATCTGTGGGCATGCCATACGAATTGCTTGCTAGTGCTAAGTGGGCCAGTGCTGATTGGACATTGGAAACTCGAATAAACTTTAAATTTCAGCAAAATGCCAAGACACTGCTCATCCTGCAGGAGAAGCCAGGTTTTTCAGAAGGTCAGAGATCCCAGGTAATTTGGCTCTCATGATGTTCTTGATAGCATATAGCTTTATATTACAGTGGTTTACATTTCCAAGTTGCTTGCCGCTCTGGCTGGGTTATTGATTTTGAAAATAAGTACAGATTGAAAATATTCTCTACTGACAACTGTGTAATATTTAATGCTTTGTAACATAAGAAATGTGTGACCAAGCTCTAGATGTATCAACTAAAATTGATGCTTTGGTAGCAACGTTCCTTTTGATTTAGCTGTCAGCATCACCAAGATCCACAAACTTCATCTGTGCTGATATTCCTACTGATCAAGATATGTGATAAGTGGCTTTCACAGTACTGATCCATAATTTGCGTGGAAGGCTAAAATCACAGTTTGAATTAAGATCCTTACTACTGTATTAATTTAGAAGAAAATAGCTTAAGACTCTAGAATATATTTAATAGCTTTATTTCTCCAAATAAAGGTTTTTACTTTGGAATGCTTAAACATTACAAGAATATTTGTTACTTTCCCATTTCAAGTGTTTTTCTCCCAAGTAACCATACAGAATGATGTATATTTTTCTAATATTGGTTGCTATGTGTCTATGTTAGTAAAATATTTAATATTCATGAAAATCAACAGATTGCTAGTCCAAAGTATGGTGAGGCTCTTTTTCCAATCTAATGGCTACTTGACCTAAACAAACTTACTATATCCCATCAAGATATTTAGCAAACTGCAAAAATGTTTTTATCCATATCTAAATGCTAGTGTTTTAAATACCTTTTTATTGCACTCAATATAAAATACAATTTACTTTTAAGTCAGATACATATAGATTTATTTATTTATTTATCTTCATTGAGTCTATTGGTACATTTTAGGGATACAGTACAGTTACATTCATTATTGGGATCTTGTACCTTTACATGACAGGTCTTGGTTCTCATTTTTTCCCCTTGTCCCTGCCCTCCCCCCTCCCCCTTTACAAACACTTCATTTCCATTTCTTAATTTTCTCATATTTTGTTCTTTTCCCTTACTAGCTTTTTTTTTTTTTTTTTTAAGGACAAAAAAGTAGACACGTATTTAAGGTACCATAGGGTCTTGATTAAGAGCACTGGCTCCATAGCTGCATTGCCTGGATACCAACCAAGTTCTGCCCCTGAACATCTGTAAATGCTGAGATAAGTTATCTGGCCATTCAAAATACAGACATAGAGATCTGCCTAGCTCCTAGGGGTGCTGGGAGGGTCAAATAATTGAATACACATAAAATTCTTAGAAGAGTACGGAGCTTATTTTAGTATTTAATAAATGTTAACTGTTAGTATAAGTTAAATAAATTGTCTTGCTCTCCATTTCACGGATGGTGACTAATTCAGCTACATCGCTAATGAACACAGGGACACATATTGGGGCACGGGTGTGTAATCAGCTAAGAATTCATACCACACAGTAGTATCTGCTACTTTGATGCTTAAAGATTCTGTTATGGGCTGCTATACATACAAATATTTAATGATCTTTTTCTAAAGGCAAAAGAAAAAAAACAGGGCCAGCAAATAAATGTGTCTATAAAATTCATTTCTTTTTTCAATATTTTATTTTTATGACTATATGCTTACAGTACATAATGGTGACATTTATCCTTAGAAGTTGGTGCATGCATATAACTCATCTTTTTACTTCTGCTTAGCCTCCTCTCCTCTCTCTTCCCCTTCCCTTGATTTCTTGGTCCTCTTCCCTTCTATTTTTAATTTTGCTGTTTAATTTGTTTATATTTTGGGTTTCTCATATAAGAGAAACTACACAATATTTAAGCTTATGTGTCTGATTTATTTCAGTTAACATTTTGGTCTCAAAATGCATCAGCTGATTATTATTTTAAAGATATCCAATAACTTTCATCTTGGAAGTAGACATATATAAGTTCTTAGATTGAAACATCCATGTTTGGGTTTAAATCAGTTACATATATATATATATATATTATATAATTGGTTATATATATGCTAGCTTTATAGCTATAACTATAGAAAATACGTAACAGTATATATTTAAAATAGTTAATATATAATATAATGAAAATATATAAGGAAATGGACCACTGGCAAAGGAAGAATGTTTATCTACACTTCTCTGTTTATGGCTGCAATTCATAATTGGCAAAGCTTAGGGTAAAATATCATTGTCTTTTCACAGAGATTCTCAAAGATGCAAGTTGTCTATGTGAGACTGCTCCTGTTCAGTGTGACCTGGGCAGCTATGGTAAGCATTTACAAACTCATTTATACTCATACAATCTCCTGCTATCTCTATCTTTCATGTCTGTTTAAATTAGCAGCATACCTACTTCAGGAAAATAGAGTGTGAGGCGAAAAGAAAGTATTCAGCAGCAAGTGCCTGTCACCAAGGAAGCCCTCAATGAACAGGGAGCAAGAGCTGGGTTACATGATATAACTTTTTTTTTTTTTTTTTTTTTTTTTGA